GGGTGACTTTAACACACCTCTTTCACCACTGGATAGGTCTTCAAGACAAAAGCTAAACAAAAAAAGTATAGAACTCAATAATACAACCAATAACTTAGACATAACAAATATATAGAATATTTTATCCATAAATGAGTAAATATACTTGCTTTTCAACAGCACATAGATCCTTCTCAAAAACAGACCACATATTATGCCACAAAGCAACTCTTAGCAAATACAAAAACATAGGGATAGTACCCAGCATTCTATCAGATCATAATGTAATGAAATTACAAATCAACAAAACAAACAAACAAACAATAGAAGCTACTCCAACACCTGGAGACTAAATAATATGTAATTAAATGAAGAATGGGTTGCAGAAGACATCAAAGAGAAGATTAAAAAATTCCTAGAGGTAAATGAGAACAATGATATAACATATCAAAATCTTTGGGACACTATGAAGGCAGTAGTAAGAGGAAAGTTCATTGCATGAAGTTTATTCCTTAAAAGAAGAAAAATATCAACAAACAAATCACCTAACATTACACCTCAAAGCCCTAGAAAAGGAACAAAACAACACCCAAAGCAATAAAAGACAGGGGATAATTAAAATCAGGGTTGAAATCAATGAAATTGAAACAAAAGAAACAATTTTTAAAAATTGACAAAATAAAAAGTTGGTTCTTTGAGAAAATAAGTAAAATTAATAAACCCTCAGCCATGCTAATGAATAGAAGGAGAAAACTCAAATTACTAAAACCTGTGATACAAAAGAAACTATCATGACAGACACTACAGAAATTCAGAAGATAATTAGAAATTATTTTAAAAATTTGTACTCCAGTAAAATAGAAAATATTGAAGACATCAACAAATTTCTAGAGTCATATGATTTACATAAACTAAATCAGGACATTATACACAAGTTAAACAAATCAATTTCAAGCAATGATATAGAAGATGCCATCAAAAGCCTACCAACCAAGAAAAGCCCAAGACTAGATGGATTCACAGCTGAGTTCTACAAGACCTTCAGAGAAGAACTAATACTAATACCCCTCAAATTATTCCATGAAATAGAAAAAAAGAGAACACTTCCAAACTCATTCTATGAGGTCAATATCACCAATTCCAAAACCAGGCAAAAACATATCAAGGAAAGAAAACTTCAGATTAATATCTCTTATGAACACAGATGCAAAAATTCTCAATAAAATTCTGGCAAATTGAAAGCAAAAACATATTAGAAAGATAGTACACCACTGTCAAGTGGGGTTCATCCCTGGGATTAAAGCTTGATTCAACATATGAAAATCAATAAATGTAATTTATGACATCAATGGACTTAAAGACAAGAATTGTATGATCATCTCAATAGATGCAGAAAAAGCATTCAACAAAATACAGCACTGCTTCACGTTCAAAACACTAGAAAAAATAAAATAATAAGAACGTATCTCAATATTGTAAAAGCTATCTATGCTAAGCCCAAGGCCAACATCATTCTAAATGGAGAAAGATTGAAAGCATTCCCTCTAAAAACTGGAACAAGGCAGGGATGCCCTTTTCTACCACTTCTATTTAACATAGTTCTTGAAACTCTAGCCAGAGGAATTAGTCAGATGAAAGAAATTAAAGGGATATGGATAGGAAAAGAAGCAAACTATCACTATTTGCCAATGATATGATTCTAACAGGATTTGAAAAATTCCACCAGAAAACGTCTAGAACTAATAAATGAATTTAGCAAAATAGCAGGATATAAAATTAAGATCCATAAAAAATGCATTTCTATACACCAGTAACAAATCCACTGAAAGAGAAACTAGAAAAACTACCCCATTTATAATAGCCTCAAAACAAACAAACAAACAAACAAAACCCTGGGAATCAATTTAACGAAAGAGGTAAATGATGTTTATAATGAAAATTACAGAATGCTAAAGAAAAAAAATTAAAGAAGACCTTAGAACATGGAAAGATTTCCCTTGTTCTTGAACAGGAAGAATTAATATTGTCAAAATGACCACACCACCAAAAGCACTATACAAACTTAATGCAATTCCAATCAAAATCCCAATGACATTCCTTATAGAAATAGAAAAAGCAATCATGAAATTCATCTGGAAAAATAAGAGACCCAGAATAGTCAAAGAAATCCTTAACAAGAAAAGTGAAGAAGTGAGGCAGGTGGCATCACAATACCATTCCTTAAACTATATTACAGTGCAGTAGTAAGAAAAACAGCATGTAATCACACCAAAATAGACTTGTAGATCAATGGTACAGAACAGAGGACACAGAGACAAATCCACATAAATACAGTTATCTCACACTAGACAAAGGTGCCAAAAACATATATTGGGGAAAAGATAGCCTCTTCAACAATCAGTGCTGGGAAAACTGGAAATCCATATGCAGCAAAATGAAATTAAACCTCTATCTCTCACCATGCACAAAACTCAACTCAAAGTGGATCAAAGACCTAGAATTAGGCCAGAGACCCTGTGTCTTATAGAAGAAAAAGTAGGTCCAAATCTTTTATCATGCCAGATTAGGCCACTACTTCCTTACAAGACTCCTAAAGGACTAGAAATAAAATCAAGAATCAATAAATGGAATGAATTCAAACTGAAAATCTTCTTCTAGCAAAGAAAACAATCAGTGAGGTGAACAGAAAGCTTACAGAATGAGAGCAGATTCTTACCACTTGCACATCAGATAGAGAATTAATATCCAGGATATATAAAGAATGTAAAAATCTTAACACTAAAAAACAAATAACCCAATCAATAAATGGACTAAAGAACTGAACAGATACTTCTCAAAAGATGATATACAATTGATTAACAAATATATTTTAAAAAGTTCAACATCTCTAGCAATTAGAGAAATGAAAATCAAAACTACTCTAAGATTTTCTCTCACTCCAGTCAGAATGGCAGATATTAAGAGTACAAAGAACAGATAGTGTTGGTGAGGAAGTGGTGGTAAAGGCACATTCATACATTGCTGGTGGGACTGCAAATTGGTGCAACCAATATGAAAAGCAATATGGAGAATCTTTGGAAAACTGGGAATGAAACCACCATTTGGCCCAGCTAGCATACTCCTTAGTTTATACCCCAAAGACTTAAAAACAGCATACTACAGGGAGGTAGCCACATCAATGTTTATAGCAGCACAATTCACAATAGCTAAATTGTGGGACTAACCCAGATGTCATTCAATAGATGAGAGGATAAAGAAATTGTGGTATATATACACAGTGGAATATTACTTAGCATTAAAAGAGAATAAAACCATGGCATTTGCAGGTAAATGGATGGAGAATGTCATGCTAAGTAAAGTAAACCAATCTCAAAAAAACCACAGGCCAAATGTTTTCTCTGATAAGTGTATGCTGATCCATAATGGGGATGGGAGAGCATGGGAGAAATGGAGGAAGTTCAAATGGGGCAAAGGGGAAGGAAGGGAAGGGGGGACATGGGGGTAGAAAAGATGGTGGAATGAGATGGAGATCATTACCCCAGATACTTGTATAAAGACACGAATGATGTGACTCTACTTGGTACACAACCAGAGGAATGAAAAATTGTACTCCATTTGTGTACTAAGAACTGAAATGCATTCTGCTGTTACGGATAACAAATTTGAACAAACAAATAAATTAATAAATTAAAAAAATTACACACACATTATTACTATTTCCACAGTTCTCTTGCCCAGAAAAGTTATCATTAGATTGCAATGTTTTATATCCAAGTTAATTTAAATGAAATCAAAGTTTGTGGGTGTTTTGTTGACCCACAGTGCTAACACATGGAGGAAATATAGGATAATTTTTGTGTGTTTTTGGTGTTCATTTGAATCAAATTTTGTGTGTTTCTGTGTGGAGACATGTGCTACTGTACCTGTAAGACCTAAAAAGGGACAGGTTTAGTTTACAATATAAGGACTGAGATGTGCAGATGTACTGGGAAAGCATGCCATATACTATCTATCCTACAATCTGTAATAGCCCTTATATATTATAAAGTAGAATAAAAGAGGTCTCTAAAATCAAAAGATACCTAATAAAATAAATTGTAGGGGTTTTAAAAGTTTATATAATTTTAAACTTTTTTTTCTGGTCATATTTCCTTGTGGGGTGTCCAAGACTAAACAGGTGGTCCTATTCTGGGCTGTTTTTCTAAATTTTTGGAGGTCAGTCAGGAGTTACTCTTATTTAGTTTATGAGGAATGCTTGTCTTCCTCAGTCTTTTTTCTCTACCGAACATGCCAAGAGCCATGATAGGCCAGTTTCTTGTTGACCACAGGATTTCCCATGCAAGCACTGAGAATATCTCTCTCTTCAATGACTCCTTTAAACAAAATATGCACTGTAGGATCCTAGTCTCTGGGGTGTTCTTAATCCACCTGATTGGGAGATTTTATGACTTTCCAGAGATGCCCAGCCTTTAGGAGTACTGTCATTCTATAAGGTAAGATATTAACATTGTAATTCAAAATATAAAGATCTAGGGCTCATTTTCATCTCTCTATATCATTCTTATAACTGTCTTAATATCTCCACAAACACAAACAGAAAAACTATAACAATTTGATTTATGCAAATTATATTTCCCAAATAAGTTTGATTAATGTGTTAAATAATTAAGAGATGTTACAGTACTATTTATCCAATAGTATGTCTGTTACATAAATCCCTTAGTCAAGTGGAAAACTGTGATATCTTTGAGATAATGACATGATTCAATACATGACAGTGTTAACATATTAACATTCACTTATATTCATTAACATGTTGCATACATAATGTGAATATAGGTAAAAATGCACTGTAAACTGGGCATGGTGGCCCATGCCTGTAACCCAAGCACATTGGCAAGCTGAGGAAAAATTTTCACAAGTTCAAAGTCAGCCTTAGCAACTTAATGAGGTTTTAGGCAACTTAGCAGACCCTGCCTCAAAATTTAAAAGGGCCAGGGGGGAAGACTGGGAATGCGGCTCAGTGGTTAAGCATCCTTAAATTTAACCCACAGTACAAGAAATAAAGTTTAAAACATTAAAATTTAATGTAAAGCCTCTTATAATTGTTTCTTATAATTGTTTTCTCCAGTATTCAAAAGTGCAAATATTCAGTAATCTTTGATTTATAAGAAATGTGTATCCTTTCAAAGATGAGTTATTTGCATTCTGGATGTATAATATTTACAATGATTTTGTTATTTCTCCATATCTCCTAATAATAATTAATAAATTTTAAGCAAATGTTAAAGCCAGTTGCTCATTTTCTATATTTAAATGATTTTCTCTTTTACTGACTCTCAAATATATCAAGTTATGAGGTATGGATAAGGACTTTACTATACTTCTTTTATACTTGTCAAGGTTTTTTATTGTAAATATTTTGCCTTTATATACAACACATATTTTGGACAAATGCTGTTTAACCTTCACTACAGGTATAAGGTTTCAGATGTTCAATAAATTTGAAATTTAAATAAAGGCTTGGAAACATTATTTAACTTTTTAAGATTGCTAAGCACTATGAATTCTCCAAAGTTCAATAATGTCTGAGCAATGGCTATGAGTTTTAAAACAATTTTTTCCACTCATACTCTCTCCTACTAGTATGTTTTCTCAGGTGCTGAGTAAGGGGTGACCAACTGTTAGAGACATTTTTACATTGTCACAGTTTTTTCATTTGAATAATTTTTCTCTGCTGTAATTACTCTGGTATGGAATAAATTTTGACCCACCCTTGAAGAAATGGCATAATGTTATCATTTGTAGATCTTGTCTCCAATATGAATTCTCTGATGTCTAGTAAGGTTTGATGGATGATTAAAAGTTTTGCCACATTCTTTGCATTTGTAAGCCTCTCCAATATGAATTCTGCTGTGGTAATTAAGGGCTGATTTTTGACTATAAACTTTGTCACATTCTTCACATTTGTAGGGCTTCTCTCCAGTATGAATTCTGCTGTGGTAAATAAGGCTAGTTTTTCGATTAAAAGCTTTGCCACATACTTTGCATTGATAGGGCTTCTCTCCACTATGACTTCTCTGATGGCGAACAAGGCTTGATTTTTTGCTAAAACCTTTGTCACATTCTGTACATTTGTAGGGCTGCTCTCCAGTATGAAGTCTGCTGTGGCAAACAAGGCTTGATTTTTCATTAAAAGCTTTGTCACATTCTGTACATTTGTAGGGCTTCTCTCCAGTATGAATCCTCAGGTGGGGAATAAGGTATGCTTTTTTAATAAAAGCTTTGCCACATTCTTTACATTTGTAGGGATTCTCACCAGTATGAATTTTGCTGTGGTAAGTAAGGTTTGATTTGTCATTAAAAGCTTTGTCACATTCTTTACATTTGTAGGGCTTCTCTCCAGTATGAATTCTGCTGTGGCGAATAAGGCTACTTTTTCGATTAAAAGCTTTGTCACATACTTTGCATTGGTAGGGATTCTCTCCAGTATGAATTCGCTGGTGGCGAATAAGTCTTGATTTTTTACTAAAAGCTTTGTCACATTCTGTACATTTGTAGAGCTTCTCACCAGTATGAATTCTGCTGTGATAAATAAGGTGCATTTTTTTAATGAAAGATTTGCTACATTCTGTACATTTGTAGGGCTTCTCTCCAGTATGAATTTTCTGGTGGTGAATAAGGTGTGTTTTTTTAATGAATGCTTTGCCGCATTCTTTACATTGGTAGGGCTTCTTTCCAGTGTGAATTCTCCGATGGCAAATAAGGTGAGATTTTTCATTAAAAGCTTTGTCACATTCTTTAAATTTGTAGGGCTTTTCTTCAATATGAATTCTATGGTGGTGAATAAGGGCTGACTTTTGATAATATAATTTCTGATGTTCATTCTCACTTACAATTTTCCATATTTTTCTTTGTTGTGAATAGTCAAGTTCATAATTTCCATATTTTCCATTTATTACTTTTTGAAATATATGTTTTATGCCCTGTTCTTGTGAAAATTCTTGCATATAATGAGAAGCCATGCCTGAAATAAACCAATATAGAAATTATTTTACTTACTAGACTGGGATGAATATATTTTGCATAGATAAGATATGAAATTATCACAATGTAAGGAAATCAGTGGGATAACATATTAGTAAATCGAAGGTCATCATTACTCCAGAAATATATAAGTAAAAATGTACAGACAAAAATTACCTTGTGAAAATTACTCAAACTATTGTAGAGACCATAGTATCCAAGATGATTATATTACTAAGGAGAATAATATAGTAGAGAGAAAAAAAATGTAACTTTTTCCAAATACAGCTATTGCTTCTCCACAATATAGCATTGTGCAATTAGAAAAAATCCACCAGCTACCTTCATTCTCAGTAGAATAAGAAAAATATAAAAGACACACACAAGCATTTGTGGCTTTCTTGAAGTGTTTGAAAACTACTTTCCATCTACCATGACAGAGAGATCTGGAAATAACAGATAGATTTTGGATGATAATACCACAGATCCAACAAGAGCAAAGAGACTATGGACTCTTAAAAAAATAAGGACAAAATTTTTAATAAGAAAAATACACAATATGTCTAGAAAATTCTCCATGAAAACTAGTTTGGGAGGGAATAAAAACCTTACACAGCCTACATCCATATTATTTGGATGAAGCCAACATGGCACTCAAAACTAATAAGTTGTTTTTTATGTTTTTTAATTTGTGTTATTTGCTGATTTGTTTTATTGAAAAATTCAACTTTGTGTATTTGCTAAGTATATCATGGTATTTTAAGGTATATATATATATATATATATATATCGAAATGACTATATGAAGTGAATTAATACATGCATTATTTCATATATTTATCAGTTTTGTGCTTAACAAAATATTGCATTCATTCTATTAGTACTTACTAAACATACTCACCATGTGATACAAAAATACTCTTGACCTTCTTATGCCCATTCAAATAAAAATTTCTAAACTTTGACTAACAATATGCCAACACTCCACAAAACACAGTACCTGGTCACCACAATTTTACTCTGTGGATTTCTGACTTCCACATGTTAGTCAAATTTTCCTGCAACTGACTTTCTGTATCTGCCTTATTTCACTTAATGCAAAGTCCTGCATATTCATCCTATGTTACTTTAAATGGCAAGATATTTTCATATCTAAATAGCAATGGCATATAAATACCACAATTTTACTAACTTGATCATTGATGGGCACACAGGTTGAGACCATATCTTGAATATTGAGAACAATGTTTTCACTGAACACAATAGTGGAGCTATCTCTTCCACGTGCTGATTTCATTTCTTATGGATACATATTTAATATTGGCATTTCTGTATCATGAGGTCATTCTACTTTTAATTATTTATGTGTTGTGCTTGGGATTAAGCCCAAGGGTTCTATACTACTAAATTACAACACAGCTATTAAAATTGTTTCAGACATGATGTTCCTAAATTTCTGTGACTTGCCTCAAAATTGAAATCTTTTGCATGGCCTCCAATTAGCTAGGATTACAAGCTAGTAGCACTATACTTGCCTTTTAAAATTTATTTTAAAACTATTTTCCACAAGGACTATATAATCTACTGTTGTCCGTTTTTTTTTTTTTAATGGACAAATCAATTAACAATATACAGCACATAAAGATAAAGGAAACCGTGGTTTAATCAAAGTAACAACAACAACAACAACAACAAAAAAAACCCCAAAACATTAGGAATTGAACATTAGGATAGTGAGAGTTATAAATTACCCAAAACTACACTAAGTAAACATTTGAAGGGAGATTAGATAACTAAATTTAGACAAAGATTGTTAATATAAATAAGCAGAAATTGTGAATGCGAATAATTCCTCAAGAAAAAAGTGTCTGAAAGAGGCAGTCATGGTGTGTAAAGCTGCAATCTTAGCCATCTGGGAGAGGCTGAGCAGAAAACCCATAAGCTCAAGTCCAGTTTTAGCAACATAGTGAGATCCTGTGCAAAATTAAAAACCTATAGAATATATAAAGGGAAGTGGTAGAGAAATTCAAGTATGCCATTATGAAAAGTGATAAGCCACAAGTTAAAGCATTAAGCAAAGTAGGAAAAACAATTATAAGAAATATAGAAAACAACTTTCAAAGTAACAGTAGCAAGTTCTTCACTTTTAAAAATTCATTTGATTATTAATGCATTATTACAAGCCACAAATCAAAAGGAAAAGCTTTACTAACAAAATTAAATCTAAAAAGGAAAAAAGAATTGCTGAATTAATTCCACAGAGTGTGGTAAAAAATGGAGCATGGCCTGCTCCCTAGGGTGCTCTGGGGTGCTCCAGCCCCAGGCTAGTGAGGAGCTGGGGAGCCCATGAAAAGCCTAAAGTTTCTGCCCTGCAGACCCCTGGAGCTCCCAATGTTACTGTCCACTGGTTGGCCAAGGCTGTGAAGAACCTAAAAGCCTCTCCCCCTGCCTGGATGACCTGATAATGGCAATGATCTATAGAACCTCAGACCCAGGATCTCTGGGCTGCCAAATCTCCTGGCCCGATCCTGTCCATCCTAGCCAAAGCCAGCACTGAGAAAATGGCAACTCTGTATGGTGGGGGCATAGCATGTCAAGAAGACTGGTGGCCAACCAAATGCCTAGAGGCCATCAGGGGCTTTAAGGGCCTAAGAAGGTGAGTGGATGATGGGTTGTGCAGCCAATCAGCACAGACTAGGGCTCTCAGTGACCACTCCAGGAGGGCTTCACAAGAATACAACTTGTCCTGACAAGGAAAACAAAGGCCTTATCCATCCTGGAATGTGAGTGAAGCCCTGGAGCATGATGGGTGGAAGGGTGAACACCCTTGGGTATTTGGTGTTTATTCAACCAAAGAGAGAAACTGTAGGGTAACATACCATATTTGATCAATTGAAAATGTCTACCACACTTCAGGTAGATTTACTGGCCTGTTGTACAAGGCCTGTATATATAATATGAAAAAGCTGTTCTCAACTTTTAAAACTTTTGCCACATCTGGACATTCATTTTTTTTTTTTTTTTTGAGAGAGAGAGAAGAGAAGAGAGATAGATAGATAGAATTTTTTAATATTTATTTTTCAGTTTTTGGTGGACACAACATCTGTATTTTATTTTATGTGGTGCTGAGGATTAAACCCAGCGCCCCGTGCATGCCAGGCAAGCGCATCACTGCTTGAGCCACATCCCCAGGCCACACATCTGGATATTCTAAATGTAAACAGTTTGACAACATATAATAGAGTTACATAATAATGTCTTGAAAATGGCCATTTGTTTTAAAAAATCAGAAACATCTTCTGGAATTGATCTTGAAATGGAGTTTTTAGACCACATCTAGCAGTGGCAGTTATCCACATTTTTTTCAGTGGGTTAGAAGACATCACGAAGACTTGGACCACAAGAAGAAATTGTCCTGTGCCAGACTGGTTATATGTAAAAGAAATTTTTCATATATTATAACCATTATTTTGTATGTGTATTTTACTCCTCATTACTAAGTACTAATTACTAATGCTAAGTACTTTTTAAAAGAAATATCTAGACTTTCTAGATGTACTTAATATATGTCAAAAGTAGAAGTAAATATAACACATTGTATAAATTTTTTTTTTAATTTATATAAAAATTTTTTTGGGGGTGGGGAAATAGCCACAACCTCTGTTGAGTAATACATATTGTGTGCTGATTCTCTGGAGCACCATGCCAGTGTGCTTACAATGAGGCAAGAGTAACCACTGTTCCTATGTCTGTGGGTTTTGTTTTACTGTGCTGTGTACTTAGTGTATATAAAGGACCAACAAGTCCTAATCTACATCTAGCTTTTCTAGCTGTTAAAGAGGTTGCCAGTGTATGACAAAAGTATAATTAGTAAACAAGTTTTGTATGTTTTGTGTTAAAATTCTTGGGAAGAATTGTCTTCTAAAAATGTGATCATTAGAGTTCACAGGGTTGGGGAAGGGCCAGAATGATCATATTTTGAAGACATTTTCAAATTAGGACTCTTGTTACATATGTGCAATTTATTCAAGACTGTCATGTATGTAGTAGACAAATTGAGTCCTTAATTGAAAAATCTAGTCTGTATAGATGTTTAGAAGTGACTGTTGTGTATTAAATATAGAGGAAGTAAAATATTACTTCATAAGACTGAATGTTATCTCTGATATGCAGATGCTTATACACAATAAGGTGGGCAAAAATAGAAGTTCATTTTGGATAAGACAAAGGGGAATGAAGGGAAGGGAGTGGGATGGGAATAAGAAAGAAAGAAGAATGAATCAGATATAACTTTTCTATATTCATATGTTAATACACAACCAGTGTAACCCCACATTTTGTACAACCACAAGAATGAGAAGTTATACTCCATGTATGTAAAATATGTCAAAATACATATATCTACTATGGTATACCTAAAAAGAACAAATAAAAATTTCAAAAAATAATAAATCTGAAAGAAATTTAATTGTATGTAATCTACAGGGAACTCTAAATCTAAGGAAAGAAGTAGATGAAAGCAAGAAAATATGAGTGTTACATACAAAAGTCACCAAAAAAAAAAAAAAAAAAGCTGGGGTTGCCAAATTATGATACAGAAACCATTTAAAACAAGAAGTTATATGGCATAAAATATATTCTAAATTAAAAAAAAATTTAAAAAGAGGCAAAGTAGATTATACAAAGATAAAAAGAACTTTTCCTTAGAATACTGCCATGAGAATAGATATATTTTCAAGTCTTCTCAGACATTAAAAAGGTAAGATAAAAAAAGTAAATACAGAAATAGAAAGCAACACTATAATACTAGGAGACACTAATCCCCATTTACTGTAGGAAAAAGTCAAACAAAATGGTAATCACAAAACAAAAACTTTGAAAAATACTTTAAACATATTTGACTTATATACCAAATGTTCTCAATAGCAAATAGAATATTAAACTGGATTGACCAACTGGTAAGGAATAAAACAAAGGTTAATAGGTATGAAAATAGTAAAATTATTTTGTAAATATCTTAGCATAAAGTTAGAAATCAAAAGTGGAAGGGATGCTCAAAAATCTAGAAATATGTGGCAATTGGTTGAACAATCTTGAACATGGTCTTGTTCCAGAATTGAAAGATAAAATTGAGAGACCTTTGTACACCTCAGTTAGCTGGAGACTTCATGTAAATATCTATCAAACTCCCATTTCCTTTTGCAAACAGAAAAACATATTCCAGAAATTTTATGGAATCTCAAATTGTATGAAAAGCCCCCAAAATTTCAAAATATAAACAAAATTGGGAGAATGTTGTGTCATGACTTAAAAACATTATAAGTTACAATATTCAATGGGTAGTACTGACATCAAGTTAAACAGATAGGCATATTAAATTGGGAGTGTGATAATCTCTTGCATATGTAGCAAATTAAAACATTTCATGCCATTGTTTGTTACAGTATTATCTAAAAGAGCTACCATGAGAAAGCACACCAAATATTCCTTGAAATAAGTGGATGAGACAATTTGTAATATAGAAACTAGAGAATATTTTTCACGTTAAAAAATCCATAAATTTTTGCAAAATCTATAATCAGGATAAATCTTCAGTATATTAGGTTAACTGAAATAAGTCCCTACCAAAAAGAAAAATATGGCAGAATTCTACTTATATAAGATGCCTAAAACAAAACAAAACAAAACAAAAACAAACATACAAACAAAAACTTTCTGAACAGAAATGAGAATGGCATTACTGAGGAGAGAAGACAGAAATGAGCCTTTGTTTACATAAGAATTTATGTATTGATTTTTGAGATGTAAACTTTCTACAGATATATTACATAAAAATTTGAATTAACATTACTGAACAATATACTTGATATGGTGGACAGCAAGTTTTGTTTTGTGGTTTTGATTAAAATTTCAAACAACACATAAAATATAAAAATAATTCCAAAATATTTTAAAGCTACCTTAAAAATGTCATTACACACACACACACACACACACACACACGTAATCCAGGTACTAGGAATTCTGAGGCAGGAAGATTGCAATTTCAAGACCATCCTCAGTAATTTAGTGAGAACCTTCCTCCAAACATAAATAGAAAGGGACTGGGGCATAGCTCATTATTAGATCATGCCTGGTTTTATCCCCATTACATTAACATATAGAAAATTTACATTACTCTGTACATAGGGAGAATGAAAAACTAATACAGATAAAATATAAATGTCATTAAAAGGGAATAATATTTATGCAAGCAAGTAAAAGCACGTGTAATTTTATTGGCAATAGAAACAAGGATCATGCATATCTTAATTTCAACTTACATTGTCCTAATTTGTAAAATAATGGAAATTGCCATCTAATCATAAAAAATGGATAAAAATAAAGCAGAACCAAATTATGTGAGAAAATCTACTCCACAACATAAAACCTATTCAATAAAATGGAAGAAAAAGAAAATTTAACCAACAAAATTGTATATAACCACAGATATACTATTTTACAAGCCCTTTTATGTAACTACATTTTGCAACTGTGACTACAGACCCCAAAAGAGTATTCATTGAAAACCTTGATTCACTTCACAGAAAATCCATTACAAGTATTTTAGAGCTCTAATAAGAAAATTTTAATAAATAAATATATGAATATTATTAGAGAGACTGCTTTATAATATTAGTTTATTACAATGGTTTGACCTAGAGTTCTCCAAAAATGTGCATCAATTTCCTAGAGACCCACAAATAATGGTATCTCTTTTAGACCATGCTGATCCTCATAAGCTAAGGGGAGTTTTGGTGGTTAATTTGAATGTACTGGTACATCACTGGAGAAAAAAGGAGACTTTAAAGAATTTGAAAGCATGATAAATATAGAGCATATGTGTTCAATGATAACAAGAGAAATAAACCTAAGCTTCTAAAAAAATATTTTCTGGTGGATAACTTTTCCATCAACATTTGAAGTTTGACGTCCTCCTTGACATTTGGGCCTCTCAATGTGTCCAATGCTATGTGTAGGCCACAATATTTTACATCACTGAATTCGTCTAAGTACCACTTATGTAAAGTGAAGAATATATAACTAACCAAGAAAGGAAGAGATTAAAGACTCAAAGGCATATCATTAACACTTATCTGTACCAAACAATGCCTTTTTCTTGAAAGCACAAACCTAAAACTCATTCTTGCAGAGAAGTTCCCAGAAGATATTCTGCAAGGGAAGAAAATTAAATAACAATAATTAAGAATTCTGAATGGAAGTTATACATACCCAGGAAGACCATGTTTCTGTAGTTCTCTAACATTACATCTCTATATAATTTTTGCTGAGCAGGTTGCAGGCATTCCCACTCCTCTTCAGTGAAATCAATGGCCACATCCCTGAATGTCAACAGTTCCTGAAACAAGAATAGGTAAATAAATAGCACATTGACCAAATGATAATCCACAGAGTTTGTGATCTAATTAAAGTTGAGATGAGAGTTTGTAAAAAGACTCTCATGTGATGACTTTAATTATTTATAAAGATACTTTTAAACACAGTGATACCATTATCTACCTCTGAAGAAAAAGTGACATAAGTCCAAAAAGAGTGTATATGCTCCACTTTTATGAAATAAAATATAAAAATTCAGGCATCAACACAAGAATATACATTTGTTATTTTATATCATAATCTAAGTTGTATATATCTCTCAGATGAGAAAGTTATGATGATTAAGAAGGGGAATTCTCAATTTTAATTGCATAACCATGAATCAGAGATTTACTAAAATGCAGAATATGATTCAATAGTTCTGGGATGGAACTGAGTTTTCTGAATATGTAGCAACCTCTCTAGTGATTCCAATACCAGTGGTATAAGACAAACTTTTGAAATGCAATGAGGTAGAAAACTAAAGGAAATATTTACTTTAGTAAATATTGAATTTGAATTCAAATATTTTATGGTATTTATGTATATTATTAAAATAACAAATAGCAACAACAATCTTGTTTGAATATTTTTGTTTTTTAAATTTAAACTTATTTTTAATAATAAAATAAAAATTGTACATATTTATGCAATAAAAATTTTGATACATGTATAAATATGTGATGTTTCTAACAGCATAAACTTATCTCACTCTTCAAACAATTTCATGTTTTATTTAATTTTATTGGTTCTTCTTAGTTCTATACAAGCATGGGATATATTGTATTCTAATTAGGATCCTATTCTTGTGGGTGGGCATGATGATAGGAGAATATTGGGAGGGAGGATGGAGATAAAAGAAGGTAATGAGGATTGAAAGAGAGCAAATCAAATTGAACCTTGTATGATTTTGTCAAAATAAACACAATTAATATGTATAACTATAATGCTCTAATAAAAAAATTCCTTTTTAAATTTTTTTTTTTTTTTTTTTGTAGTGGTGAGAATTAAACCTGGGTTCTTGCACAAGCAAGGCAACTTCTCTACCATGGAGTCACATCTCCAGCACAAATGTCTTTCTAATCTTGATTATTTCTTTCTGTTAAAATAATCTAATCTCACTCTTTCTTATATTTATTGTTTTATACCATTATTATTGTTAAAATGATTTTTTTCTCATATCTTAAGTAATATCCTATTATTATAATCATCATCATCATTATTATTCTTGTTATTATTAATTATCTTCAATACACATGCTAAGAATTCCATGTGATCAACCACAATCTTGTACTATTTTACACACATGTCTTCTATAATTGCCTGTGTATCTAACTCAAAATCAAACCTTGTTTCCCTGATGATCAGTGTCATCCCTCTCACCATGTATTCAGTACTCTGGACTTTATAGTCTCCTCAGTCTTGCATTAGCTCCAATCTACACTAGTACATAAGCCCTACTTTTGTATCTACCACACCTAGACACAAGATTGTGCTGGGAAAAACAAACAAAACCTACATCTGATATTCCTGTACTAATACAGAAGCAACTGTACAAAAGGGACAGTCACCTGCATGAGAAATGAGCCATATTGACAATAAATAATAGAAAAATGAAACCTGACTAATAAGTAGAACATAAGAAGATATCTAACATGTTATTTTTAGATTGTCCTTATGAATATTGTAGACAAAGGCTCATGACAAAAATCCAATTTAGATAGCTACCTGATCATTTTATTACTAACATCACTATTTCAAAATCCAACTCCCACAGGTTTTCCACAGTTTTATTTCAAGTTCACTATGATATTTGTAGGGATTCTGACTGTGGAAATATACAGGGAAGCATTCCTCTGGTGAGCAAACTCCTGGGGGATAACAGGCACCCTGTTTCCAACCCTTAGAATGCTCTGCAGTTACTCCCTGGAACTAGTAAGATAACTAATACATGTGCAATGCCTAGCTGCTATGAAAATGTCCTTTATGAGGAGGCTCTGTGCTAGAGTCTATCAGCCTTGACCTTGATCTCAGGCACACACTTCCTAGAAATAAAGGATCTCTCTTGTTAGACACCACAATGTTTCACTGAGCCTAAAGCTGCCAACATAACAGTAACTTTTTACAATGGATTTTCTTGAGAGCTACACAAAGCTCATAACATTGCACATTGCAACTTATTATATAACTGAGAGATAAGCTGCATAATGTTGCTAAGTCTGTAACCTGACAATGAACAATGTGTACTAATGAAGCCAATGACCTAAAGTAATCTATTGATATAAATAAAGCTGGCATCTAAGGTGAGCAGTTTTTGCTTCTGCCTCTGCACTTCACTTCTGTATCCATTTGCCTTCCCTACAATCATATGAAACTGATCTAACACGACCATATCTACCTTTCAATTACAAAATCAACCCTAATTTTAAAGAAAACAAATGGCTTGCATTCTATCATACTATAGATAAAATGGAAATAATAAGGATCTATAAGATATTCTGAGTAACAATAACTGATCACACTTTATTTTCACCTGATCATGGAACTCTCTCCAAAATAAATCATATTTACGGCCACAAATAAAGTCCTAACAAATAGAGAAAAGTAGAATCAATGCCTTGTATCTTATCAGATAATTATAGCCTAAAATCCACAGCAAGAAAAATTAAGCTAGTATACAATCATATGGAGATTGAATCTCACACTTTTGAGTGTATGTCATAAAAATCAGGAGATAAAAATCTTAGAATCAACCAACAGAAATACAATGTACCAGAACTTCTGGGATATTCTAAAGGCAGTTCTAAAAGGAAAATGCAGTTGTGTTCCTAAATAAAATACCAGAAAGATTCAAATCAAATAATTTACATGTCAATCTCCCAGTCTTATAACAACAACAACAAATTATTCCCCAAATGAGCACAAGAAAAGAATATGAATCAGAGATGAAATTAATGAAATAAAGAATAAAAGAATATAAAGGATTGATGAAAAAAAACTAGTCGGTTCTTTGAAACAATAAACAAAATGAATAAACCCTTAGACAAACAACTCAAAGAAAAGAGAAAACTCAAATTCATAAAATTAGAGATGAAAGAGCTCACATTATCACATAAACCAATGCAATTTAGAGGATTATCAGGGAATTATTTTGAAAACTCATATTCTAATAATTGGAAAATCTAAAAGAAATGGTTAAATTTCTAGGTACCTATGACCTACCCAAAATGAACAAAGTGGATATTGAAAACCTAAAATAACAATAAAAAGCAATGTAACTGAAGCACTAATACCAAGCCTTCCAACACAAAAACTTCTGGACAAGTGAATTCAATACTGAATTCCATCAGATAATCAGAAGAAATTAACACAATGCTTCTCAAGTTATTCCTTGATATAGAAAAATAAAAACCCTCCCAAATTTATTCTATGAAGCCAGTATCACCATGATATTAAAAACCAGCCAAAAGACCAGCACCCACATGATCCAAAATTTGGGAGGCTGAGGCAGGAGGATCACAAGTTCAAGACCAGCCTCAGTAACTTAGCAAGACCTTCTCTCAAATAAAATTAAAAGAACTGGGATTCTACTTAGTGTTAGAATTGTCCTGGGTTCAATCCCCAGTACTATTTTTTTTTTTAAAGAGAGAGGAGAGAGAGAGAGAGAGAGAGAGAGAGAGAGAGAGAGAGAGAGAGAGAGAGAGAGA